TGGCCCCCCTTCCCATTCCAGACTTACCTTCCCTCTCCTGCAGGACCTTCATCCTCGTCTCGGCGGCCAGGGGCGGGGCTAAGAGGAGAGGATCCTCGCACGGCAGAATGTGCTGCCTGGCGGTGCCTGCAGCACATTCTGGGTTACTACTGGCTGTCAGCTTCTCCATCCACGCCGCACAGCCGCCCGTACATGCTGCTGGTGGCAGAGCAGCGAGGAAGGAGCGGCAAGATCTCGGGGGGGCCGCCTTCTTCCTCCCTGGGCCACCCCAGCAGGTGGAACGCCAGGGCCCGGTCGTTGCGACCCTGGTAGTTCCACCAGTGATCACAATGGAATCACAGTTTGTTTTTTAATAAGACACATACAGCATTGGGGTTTTATTGTTTTATATTTATTGTCCTAGATGCATTGCATATCAGATTATAGGCATATGATTAGTTTATTAAGCGCTTGTTTCAAGCACAGTTAGTAGACAGAATTTTTTTATTAACTGGATACAAAGGAGCTGGGCCTTTTTAAAGAAGGTGCACATGACAATCACAGGGATTCAGTGATTTAAAAATCTTAGTTTAAAATATTCTTCTGTTACTTTTTTTTTTATTGACTCAAAGAGATAAGAGACGAGTGGATCATTTTTTAATTACTGAACCTTAAGAACTATAATGTCTTTTTCCATCCATTCCATTGATTTTGTGTTACTTCCAGGAGAATGATTGCATTTTAGAGACAGGCGATGCTTCTGTAGAATAAAATTTCTAAGACTTGTGTTTTTAAAACATTTCAGTCATTGTTATTGATCCCACAGTGCCTCGCTGCAAGACAACGGTTTGCAGCAATCTGTAAACATAATGATCTTTTGCTGTCAAGTGGTTTCAATGCTGTTTAATTGGAATATAAAATTTAGCATGTTTGGAATTAAGAAATCCCAAAATAATTTGTATGTATACCTTGTAAAGGATCTCAGTGCCGGGAGGAGCAGCTCTGCGGTCTGCATCCGACAGAGATGCAGACTGTGTAGCTGCTCCCGCAAGTCAGGTATGAGGTCGTGACCTCATACCTGACTTGTCACCTAGCTGCGGGCCACATAGTACCGGCTCGCGGGCCGGTACTTTGAGACC